GAATGTCTTAGTCCTTAATCAAGCCCAATTCACTGGATTTATTGTTTCACAAATTCGCAGTGGTTAGTTGTTTAGGATATCATTTAAAATAAACTAGTTTGTATAGTTTAGATAAAGTAATTTAAATTTGAAAGGTATCTATTTTCTAAATACTGAACAAATGCATTTATTTTCAACCATATTTATTTTTTCTTTTTTTCCTATTTTTACTAAGAGTGTGTTTAATTAACATGAAAAATATATCATAAAATAGAAAATATTTTCCTTGTTTTGAGTAAAACGAAAACCTACTCTCCCAAAAAAAAAATATTTTCCTTCAAAAAATGAAAGTTAGGCATATTTTTAAAAATTGAAAAATATTTTCCATGAAATAAAAATAGCAACCAAACACTTCAAAATAAGAATTTAGATGAAAAAATAATATTTTTACTGAAAAATAAATGAATGAAAAACATATAATATTTTTGAGTAATGTTATTCATCTCCAGTGGGGATGAAAACACAGTTTATGTAGTTTTAAATGATAGGTTAAATGAAATGTGAAATTAAATAAATTATTTAATTTCACCTATCATTTAATGTTATATTGACGTAAATTGTGTTTTCATCTCTATTAGGATGAATAGCATTATTACTCAATATCTTTTGTCTTTTGTGTTGTGGGGGCGCCGTTATTTTCATTCTGCAAGTAGTGACAACAGACTGAACAGCTGTGCCTCCCAAAAAGACATACAGAAATAATTGAGTGAGAGAGAAAAAACCATCCCTGTTTTCAAATCAATTCCATTTTTTTCTCTCCATTTCAGAGGAAAGTTGTGGGATTTACAGTGCAAGAATGGAGAAAGCCCTTACGAAAGTTGGGAGCCTAAAAGCTAGTACATTTTGGGTTTCCAAAAAAGCCAAAGAAGAAATCTCTAATATCAGCCAAGATCTTTCTGTATGTTGTTTATTTCTCTCTATGTTCTGTATTTGTATCTATTATTAGATTAGATCTTCTTGTTTAATCCTTTTGCCTTGAAGATTATTCATATGTTTTTTGGATTAAAACTTACCCAGTTTGTGGATGATGTTAAATTGATTATATAGTATAGAATTGGGACAAGATCTGTATGGTTATTCGTAGAAAAAAGTTCAAATCTGGATTGATGATGGAATGTGGGATTTGATGGGAGTGGTGGATTTATCTTAATCAGTTTTTATGTGTTCTAAGAGTAAAAAGTTCAATTAGCAAAATGTAAGAAATCAATCTTTAAGTAATGAGTGAACTGAATGGTGAAATGGTGATGAGAATTTGAAATAGCACAAAATATTGTGGTACAAATTATTCGTAATTTTTAATGAATAGAAAGTAATGCAGGGAAAGATCTAGTGTTGTTGAATCCGAGGAATGCTAAGAAAAGATCGAAACTGGAAGAATTCTAAAGTTTTATATAATTCAGTCAAGAACAAACAAAGAACTACCATGGTCTTACAAGTGTTTAAAATTGGCCGTAATGCCCATAAAACCATACTAGATAAAAATAGATGCGCCCTCGGGTCCATGATGTCTTCAGCCATAATTTAATGTGCATCTGAACATGGGCAAGATGAAAATTTCTATCTTGGATGATTTATTTCCATATATATGTGTGATTTTTCTTAGTTGATCCTGATATTCTCTTTTTATTCTTACGAGTTGTAAAGGCTAACGCTCAAAATATATAAAAATTTCGTACCTTCAAGCGTTCCAGATATTCTACAGACGGGTTTTCTGATACGCATATGGGAAACCCTGCTTAATCACCCAAAGAAAGAAGAAAAAAACACGCTTGTAATGCAGAGTTTTGATCTGCCAATTAGTAGTTCCTTCACTGGTTTATTTATGAGACGTTTTGCTGCAGAGACTTTTGATATTTGAGTAACAATACATATGAATTTTATTGCTGTAGTGAACTATTGACATGTTTTGGCATCAAATGGACTTAAAACTTTTAAATTTATAAATTTGTATTTGTTTTGATATCTTCTCACTCCAGACGTTGTCAAGCACTGTTGAAGAGAAGGCAAAATGGATCTTCAACAAGCTCAAAGGTACGCTGTAAAGCACGTATAGATGCTACATATTTTAACTAGATGCATAAATACGAAGCCGATATCCATATACCTATTATGTTTGGCTGAGCAGAAACTTACTCATAAGTAGGTCACGTGTGGAAGTAAATAAGTTCTGCCCCTTAATCCAACTTGGGATTATGTTTTTGACCATCCCATTTGTGGATTCTAATTTGATATTGTTTTGAAACTTGTCCCTTTGAAGGGAAACCATTGAAGCCATTAGCCGATCTCCTAAGAGAATACAATCTGCCTCCCGGCCTCTTTCCTCAGAACATAATTTGTTACGAGTTTGATGAGTTGAAGGCCAAGCTCATCGTCTACATGCCCTATCCGAGTGAGATCTGCTTCAAGGATTCATCCATTGTAAGGTATTCAACTCGTGTCAAAGGGACATTATCGAGGGGGAAGCTCTCGGGAATAGAAGGAATGAAAACTAAGGTTTTGGTTTGGGTCAAAGTTACCAGTGTCAATGTTGAAAGCTACAAGTCGGATAAAGTGTGGTTTATGGCCGGCGTAAAGAAGTCGAGGGCCAAAGATGCTTACGAAATGCCACGAGATGCCATCAGAGTAGAAGAATTTTGAGGTACAAGATATGATAACTGATTATTTGGGCAAGGTGTCAACAAATCTTTATATATATTGGTGCAATCTCCATTTGTTATAGAATTCGTAATTTTTTCTGAAAAATATATGTTTGTGACGTTTGGTTTATTGTGTTTAGCACATCTACGCTATATTGAAATCATAGGTACATCGTTTTCTTCTATGATGTGAAATGACTTTCTTATATCATGTAGTCGAGCTAAATAATGTGTTATTTAACAAGCGTTTAGTATAGTCAATCGTAGAGGTGTAGAGTAGGTCGGGATGCATTCTTTATTGGGAAGATCGAGCTTACCTGTTCATGCTAGGCCCACGATCCACACAGCGTTTGCTGAACCATTGATGTTTATTTTCTTCATTTTTTCAGATTTTTAATAAAAAAGTTTCTTTTCATTGGCCTACGAGCTAATTTTTTTTTTTTTTTTGGCGTGACCCACTTTATAATCTAGTCACATGCTTGTAAATAATGCATCATAATATATTATTCCAAGGAGATGCCTGCATAAAAACTAATTTCAAAGGAAAAAGTAGAGTGATTTTTTGATCAATAATTTTTTCTTGATGCAAATAAGACAAAATCATGGAAAGGGTATTTCAAATATTTATTATGATTTATGAATTCACGTGTAAATTTGAAGTCCACTATATGAATTTTTATTACACGCTCTTTTATTGTTGAATAGTGTTATTTAGTCTCACTAGAGCTATAATATCAGTCTATGTGATGTTCGATAATAAGTTAAATGAAAGATTGAATTAAATGACTCATTTAGCTGTACTTATCATTTAATGTCATATTAACGTCATATAGATTGTGGTGAATCCACACTAAAATATTGTTTAGTATAAAATTTTATGTACTAAATATTCACTTCGATTATGGTGCACGCGTGTCTTGGAATTGTGTCAAATAATAATAATAATAAAGGAGAAGAAGAAGAAGAAGAAGAATTATGAAGATAGCTGAAAATTTAAAAATGAGCTCTTGTTTAAAATTGATTTTTTCAAAACTATTTCTTCCAATTTTTTTCAACCATATGTTCTTTAAAAAGGAACATTTTTCACATTTTTTTCATAATTTTTCTTTTTTTTAATCATACATTCCCTAAAAAAGTTACTTCTCAAAAAATCAACTTCACACTGTGGCTGTGCAAAGAAGAGAAGGCCTGTCCAGACGTGTAGTCTCGTTTTAGCTTATTTTCTAAGCAAGACAATGGGCTTGTTTAAAAAGGTCGATTTGGATCATGATGGGTGAAAAGGGGGCTAAAATTGTCAATCTAGTAGTTGTTTGCAATCTGAATGGAAATCGATTTTTAAGGGGATAGCTCACCCTACAGTATGACGATTCTTTATTCCAACTATCAATCATAATACATATACATCTTTATTTACATATTTATTTTATACTCTTACATATGGCATAATCACATCTTTTGATTTCCCCAAAACCTTTTCATATCACTGTTCAGATTATGCACATACGGGAGATTGTCACTCATGGTGTGAAGTAGGATGTAGATATAGTCATATAACTTAATTCTTCCAACTATTGTAACATGTGTTTTGCCATATATTTTTGTACAAACACCATGTACAATTGGGTCCGGAACTGGGCCTGTCTATGGACTCAAACGCACATCAAGTCCACCTGCCTGCCAAAAGCAATAG